CAAACCCTAAACCCCGAAGCGGCGCACGTCCACATGGAGCCTTCATGGGCTCCACCAGATCTTTCCAAACCGCTCGTGCCGTCATCATCTTTACCTCGGAACTACGATGGTTGTGTCTATTTGGAGGTTGATTGGGTTTAGGGTTTAGGGTTAAGGGTTAAGGTTCGAACCTTGCTTAGGGTACTTATAACCCTACTGATAAGTACCCATGAACCTACACCGCAACTCCCCGTTGCGTGGGTCGTGGAGAGTTGTTTTTGCTAGAAAAGGTCCATAAGAGTCTGAGCAAACCTACCAAATTCCTGTAAGTCTTGGAGGTCGCGGGAGGGGTCAAGGGGTGGGCACGGCTGATAGCGTGTAGGGCTTAGGGATGTGAAGGCCTAATGCCTTGTCGGAGGAACCCTAGGAATCTACAAGTCGGCGTACTGCCTTTACAAGAACTTGACCTGCGGTGAGCACAGCATACGCCCCGCAGCTAGATGCTGTAGTCAGTCTTCAAAATTCGAGGTGGCTTGGCAGTTCGGGGTTTGGGGGTTTTCAGTACGAAGCGTGCAGGTTGAGTCACTCCGGGTTGAACCGACTTTCGTGCCATAAATCTAGCATCGGATGTTTGTCGACCCTTTTGACTAAGCCCGCGCAACAACCTGCGCGCATCTCTGTATTCTTCTTCTGGGCCTGGCGGATCTCAGGGGCCCCTCCGGCCCACAACGCGCGCCCGAAAGCTAAGCCTGTGCGTGTGCACAAGAGCCCCAGAGGACTCCACCCTAAACCCTAAACCCTAAACCCTAAACCCTAAACCCTAAACTCTCTCTTCCTCTTGTTTTCACGGGCCCGCGCCCTGCCTGATGGATGGTCGTGGCGGCCAGGTCCCCATTCCGGCTGTCGGCCTTGACCGCGGCTTCGAGCTTGCGTTTTCGGGGTTTTGGGCTTTTCCCACTCCCTAAACCCTAAACCCCCAACCCTAAACCGAGTTTAGGGTTTAAGGTTTAGGGTTTTTGGGCCAAACCCTAAACCCTAACCCTTAACCTTATAATGGCCAGTGGCCTCTTGTCTGTTTCCCTTATACCTTAATACAGCCCCTACGTGCCCTTCTACTTCGAAGAACCCCCTGCAAAACAGAAACCCTCCTCAAAAAGACCACCAACCAATATAACCTTAACCCTAAACCCTAAACCCTAAGGGGCTTTGGGGTTTTGTGGTTTTGCGGTAGGAGGGGTTTGGGTGTATGGCATGAGGGATGAATCTAGGCAGGTTCGGCTGAAGCCTAAGCCCCATGGCTGCTTAGGGTTTAGGGTTTATTCCCTCACACTCGGACAGGCGAGGCACCCACAAACCCAAGGCTTTGCCCTGCATTCCTCATCCCGAGGCTGCGCAGACCCAAGGAAATAGACAAAAAGAAGGGCAAGATGAGCTTGCCTCGGTCAAGAAGGGCAAGATGAGCTTGCAGCTTCGGGCCATCAATGGCACGAAGGACAGCACCTCGCGTGGGGGGGGCCGAGTCCGAGGTGCAGGACGTGCACTTGCCCCAATGCCAGCACAGTGTGGGGAGGGGGAGGGACCCTACACCCTGAACCCTGAACCCTAAACCCTAAATTTTAAACTCTAAACAAGAAACCCTAAACCCTAAACAAGAAACAAGAAACCCTAAACCCTAACGCTAAACCCTAAACCCTAAACCCTAAACCCTAAACCCTAAACCCTAAACCCTAAACCCTAAACCCTAAACCCTAAACCCTAAACCCTAAACCCTAAACCCTAATCCCTAAACCCTAATCCCTAAACCCTAAACCCTACCCCCCATGCTCTGCATGCAAAGGCCCTCAAAGGTCAGCCTTCGCCAAGAAGGCCTCCTCTCCATCAGAGTATGGCTCCGAGAGCCTGCAAAATTTGGGACTTCACGGTTTCGGGTTTTAGGTTTTAGGGTTTAGGTTTAGGGTTTTAGGTTTTAGGGTATAGGGTTTAGGGTTTAGGGTTGAGGGGATTTCGGTTTTAGGGCTTGATGAAGCAGCTCGTTGCCTCGGAATGCAACAAGTTTCAGGGTACTCGGTTTGGATATCTTGCCATTCCTTGGCTTATAGGCTCACGTGTAGCTAGCACCAATGGGAGGGCGAAGGTTTGCGAGCTTACGCCCGTGAAGCGTCAGCTAGGGATTATAGTAGGGGGTACTAGAATCCCTATAAAGGACTGTTAGTATACAGGGGAACATCCCAACTTCCCTCCCTTGTGCAGCCAGCCTCCTGGAAGCGTAGCGAGCAGAGCCGACGCATGAGGACCTGCCACAGGGCTTTTTCTTTCAGCCGTCAGCTTTCTCGCGGAGGCGCGCGCGTAGTAAAAAGCTGTGCCCTGTCGTGAGGGTTGACAATGCATGGCTGCGATACTATATTTTGATGACCTTGCGTTCTGGCTACACCCTAAACTTCTAAACTTAAAATGCTGAGTACCCTGGGCAAAAAAAAGGTTAACCTTTCAAATCATGGTAGCATTCTAAAAAGTAATATATACGAATATATATATATATATATATACATATATATATGTACTCCAAAAGGTTGAAGGTTACCTACTCAGATACTAAGTAAAACTGGCCAACACCTCACAGTCGATCGTTGGGCTACCTCCGGCGGTGGCGCCCCAGCGAGAGAAGCCGCAGAACGTTCACCAGCTTTCGCACCTCCCAACCCCCCAACAGCTTGAGAGACGTTTGCTTTTCAGAAGCCTAAACCCTAAAATCCTAAACCCTAAACCCTAAACCCCAACTCGGCTACAATGATCCCTTATGAGCTCCGTGGGGCTCGGGCCCAGAGCCCCTTGTCAACCTCCAGGCAGGTGGACTCTACACCACCCCTTTAAGATACCCTAAATGCGCCCAGTCCTTGCAGGTTCATGGGTTTAGGGTGTTTACTTGGAGGTTCATGGGTAGTTATGCCCGCATTGATAAGTCTACTACTTGCAGGTTCATGAGTTTAGTGTATACTTGGAGGTTCATGGCTACTTATAACCCCATTGATAAGTCTACTTCTGACCTACTTATAAAAGGACCTAGGAAACTTATAAGAACAGGTCTAATTGGGGTCAAAAGTACCCTGAACCAAGTAACGTACACGATGAGGCCCTTGTTGAGGGTGCTTGGGGGTGGGGTTTGTGGGGAGCTGCGGGCGAACCACTACCCTAAACCCTAAACCCTAAACTCTACACCCAGAAGCTTCTTGCTGCTGCGATGCTAGGGGCTTCAGGCCCTTTGCTCTTTTGTAGGTCGGGCGGTGGAGGCAGTGCCCGTAGTTTTCAGGCCTCAAAAGCGCAAGGCAAAAGCGCGAAGGGAACAGCATTCTAGTACCCCATGAACTAAGAGCGAAGGGAACAGTATTCTAGTACCGCATGAACTCTTGCACCGGCGTTTTCGTATCGTTAGTAGGAGCTTAGATGGGGGGGAGTTTAGGGAGTTTTTGTCTTCGGTTTGTTAGATGCATGGCTCCGTAACCCAAACCCAAAAGCCCCAGAACCCAAAACCGTAGCCGCCTAACGATGAGCAACCTGGCGCCCTGCACCTCCCCACCTTGCCTCGTCGAAAACTGCAGAATTACTAGCAGAAGCCAAAAACACCGACATGCACATTTCAAAGCCGAATTCCTAACAAAAGGAGTCTGCCTGAATCAAGAATCCCGCGCACAAACCCAAAGCTAACCCACGCAACCTCATTACAGAAACATTCGCACTACTTACGTAACCATAGGATCTCTGTCTTCGGCCCCGCTCGAGACCGAAAGGGTCAGCTAAGCTTGCAGCTCATACTTGGGCTCCCCATGTCCAGTAGCCATGCCAACTTGTGTGGCATAGGGGCAAGCTGGCGCTACGGAGGAGCGTAATGAAAACACAAACTGGATGGGCTCGATGTGAACAGACTTGGCAGCTACTTACTGAAAGAGCATCATTCCCTTAAAAGCCATGCATTTCAACGGCTCGGCATATAAGATGAGTAGAGGGTCAAACGAGTTGGAGGCTTCGGGCCGGGCTTGGGGTGTGCACCCACTTTGTGGGATTGCAGCCCCCACGCTGCTTCAAGCCAGGAGACAGGAAGATGTTGAAGGCTGCGTGCAGTTCTGAAAGTTCCTAAGTAGCTACTCCAAAACCCCTCTAGACTCTAGACCCCACGCAACTGTTCTTGATAGTCCTATGGACCTGCTCTAAATCCCCAACCAACCCGATGCCTATGGAAACAAGAGTTGCTGAAAGGTGAAATGCAGAGGTCCTGAGAGGGACATGACTTAGACCCTGGCAGAGACTCGCTCTGGAGGTTCTGCTTTTGGGGGCTTTACATGGGACATAAAGGGCTTTAGGGTCTTTACGGGTTTACTGATTAGAGTCGGGATGTAAGGGGCTTTGGGGTTTAGGGGCTTGTGCTTGAAAACTTGTACCGCAAGCCAAGGTCAAGCAAAGGCGACCATGCACCATGCAAGCTCCTACTCTTTTTCTCTGCTCTCTTGCCCATAACTGTACACTGTACACTGCGCTCTGGGACTTGAGCTGGTGCCACGAAAGCCCCCCCCCCCCCCCGCCCCCCCGGGCTTTGGTGTACGGAGGGAAAAAGGGCTTTTAGTATCACAAGCCATCGATGCGGCTTGTGGGAAAGAAAGTTGCTTTGCAACTTTGCTTGGGCCCAAAACCCCAGCAGTCAATGACTTCTTTCCGGTCTGAAAACCGGACACAAAACCTTTGCTGTGGGAGCACGCTGAGCCCCCGAAACTATTGCTGTAAGCGGGACGCTTCTGAGTAACATTCTGATTCTTGAGTCCCGTCACCCGTCAACTAGTATGGGACGACTCTCATGGTGTCCCAGGAACAGCTTCGATTCCACAAGCTTTCCGGACAGCTCTCACGAGTCCCTACAAGAGCAGAGAGGGGTACTCGCGGTCATGGCCGTCCCAATGTCCCTAGACACCGCACCTCAAGAAACCTGTGAGTTCTTGCTAAACTCTAAACCCTAAACCCTATACCCTGAACCCTCAGTGCTTCTTGCTCTTGGCCGCCAGGCGCGACAGGAACTTACCTGAGCAGTCTGCTTGAGCTTGGGCCCATAGCCTGTGAAGAATCTCGCAGTGTTTAACCTGCTTTTGGGGCTAAGACTTAAGGGCTTTCTCGGCTTTACTTTACCTTAGTTGCTGTACTTGATTTACTTGCTGGACTATTTGTATATGTATATATATATATATGTATACACACATATGCATGTCGTATACATATGCATCTATATATATATATATATATGTGAATACATATCAAGATATCCGTCCTTCGACACAGAAATGATGACAATAATCCATCATCTACGTAACATTCACTTAACCTTCCTGTTGGCTAGTAGGGAATGAGGGAAGGAGGTACTGCAAAAAAACCTTAAAGGGTATATATATATATATAGGGGGTTATAGGGTACCTATTAAGAATCCCTTAAAGGGCATATATATATATAGGGATATAGGGTACCTTATTCCCTCATTCCCCTCTAACCGACCGTAAGCATCTGGGACTTGGGGCTCCTGGACTCATATGGGCTCTGGGATGCTCTGGGTTTAAGTCAAGGGTTCAGGGTTCAGGGTTTAGGGTTTAGGGTTCAGGGTTTAGGGTTTAGGGTTTAGGGTTTAGGGTTCAGGGTTCAGGGTTTAGGGTTTGGGGTTTAGGGTTTAGGGTTTAGGGTTTAGGGTTTAGGGTTCAGGGTTTACGGTTTAGCGTTTAGGGTTCAGGGTTTAGGGTTCAGGGTTCAGGGTTTAGGGTTTAGGGTTCAGGGTTCAGGGTTGAGGTTTTAGGGTTTAGCGTTTAGGGTTTAGGGGGGGAGGGGCCTCCCTTTCACGCACACGGGTGGGGCAACTTCTCAATCGGGCTGCTTTAGCTTCTATAACCCGCAGCCCGACACCGATCTTTCTGTAAAAATTCGGGGATCAGGGTACGACTCCTAACGTGAGACTTTACGCTTGGGGCATTTTTAGACTTCTTGCAGCCCAGAGATTCTCTTCTTCGGCGCGGGCTTGGCAGGTGAAGGTTGCGCAGGCTTGGCAGGAGGAGGCTGCGCGGGCTTGCCAAAGGCCTGAGCCAGGGCCAAGCTTCCAAGGTTTAGGGTTTAGGGTTTAGGGTTTAGGGTTTAGGGTTTAGGGTTTAGGGTTTAGGGTTTAGGGTTTAGGGTTTAGGGTTTAGGGTTCCAAGCGCAAAGAGCCAGGCGAGCCCTGCTGTAGAAGTCACGACATCACACCTGAGGGGCCCGCTTTTGAAGCCCATGAGCTCCAGACTCCCAGAGCCCATGAGTAAGTAATGAGGGAATAAGGTACCCTGTCTCCCCTCTTTTTTTATACCCTTAGTATAGAACCATATATATATATACCCTTTAAGTATAGAACTCGACTTGCTTGCAGTCCGTTTATTCTGCGCACACCACTTCGCAACATAACAACATGTTCCATCCATGGCTTGCCCTGCAAGTCACGACAATCAGACCTGCAGGGCTTAAGGAATATAGAATGCAGTGCCGCGCAAGGAGCAAAACTCGACTTGCTGGCAGTCCGTTTGGGACGAGGCCACTGGGGATGTACACCACGACATCAAAGTGCCCCTCACCGTGGCGGGCTGCTGAGAAGACACAGCCGGGCATCCGAGCGCGTGTTCACCACCTCTGGGAGTGTCTGAAATGCACAAATTCTGCGCACGCCACTTCGCAACATAGCAACATGTTCCATCCATGGCTTGCCCTGGAAGTCACGACAATCGGACCTACAGGGCTTAGGAATATAGAATGCAGTGCCGCGCAAGGAGCAAAACTCGACTTGCTGGCAGTCCGTTTGGGACGAGGCCACTGGGTATGTACACCACGACATCAAAGTGCCCCTCACCGTGGCGGGCTGCTGAGAAGACACAGCCGGGCATCCGAGCGCGTGTTCACCACCTCTGGGAGTGTCTGAAATGCACAAATTCTGCGCACGCCACTTCGCAACATAGCAACATGTTCCATCCATGGCTTGCCCTGGAAGTCACGACAATCGGACCTACAGGGCTTAGGAATATAGAATGCAGTGCCGCGCAAGGAGCAAAACTCGACTTGCTGGCAGTCCGTTTGGGACGAGGCCACTGGGGATGTACACCACGACATCAAAGTGCCCCTCACCGTGGCGGGCTGCTGAGAAGACACAGCCGGGCATCCGAGCGCGTGTTCACCACCTCTGGGAGTGTCTGAAATGCACAAATTCTGCGCACGCCACTTCGCAACATAGCAACATGTTCCATCCATGGCTTGCCCTGCAAGTCACGACAATCGGACCTACAGGGCTTAAGGAATATAGAATGCAGTGCCGCGCAAGGAGCAAAACTCGACTTGCTGGCAGTCCGTTTGGGACGAGGCCACTGGGGATGTACACCACGACATGAAAGTGCCCCTCACCGTGGCGGGCTGCTGAGAAGACACAGCCGGGCATCCGAGCGCGTGTTCACCACCTCTGGGAGTGTCTGAAATGCACAAATTCTGCGCACGCCACTTCGCAACATAGCAACATGTTCCATCCATGGCTTGCCCTGGAAGTCACGACAATCGGACCTACAGGGCTTAGGAATATAGAATGCAGTGCCGCGCAAGGAGCAAAACTCGACTTGCTGGCAGTCCGTTTGGGACGAGGCCACTGGGGATGTACACCACGACATCAAAGTGCCCCTCACCGTGGCGGGCTGCTGAGAAGACACAGCCGGGCATCCGAGCGCGTGTTCACCACCTCTGGGAGTGTCTGAAATGCACAAATTCTGCGCACGCCACTTCGCAACATAGCAACATGTTCCATCCATGGCTTGCCCTGGAAGTCACGACAATCGGACCTACAGGGCTTAGGAATATAGAATGCAGTGCCGCGCAAGGAGCAAAACTCGACTTTGGCAGTCCGTTTGGGACGAGGCCACTGGGGATGTACACCACGACATCAAAGTGCCCCTCACCGTGGCGGGCTGCTGAGAAGACACAGCCGGGCATCCGAGCGCGTGTTCACCACCTCTGGGAGTGTCTGAAATGCACAATTCTGCGCACGCCACTTCGCAACATAGCAACATGTTCCATCCATGGCTTGCTGGAAGTCACGACAATCGGACCTACAGGGCTTAGGAATTAGAATGCAGTGCCGCGCAAGGAGCAAAACTCGACTTGCTGGCAGTCCGTTTGGGACGAGGCCACTGGGGATGTACACCACGACATCAAAGTGCCCCTCACCGTGGCGGGCTGCTGAGAAGACACAGCCGGGCATCCGAGCGCGTGTTCACCACCTCTGGGAGTGTCTGAAATGCACAAATTCTGCGCACGCCACTTCGCAACATAGCAACATGTTCCATCCATGGCTTGCCCTGGAAGTCACGACAATCGGACCTACAGGGCTTAGGAATATAGAATGCAGTGCCGCGCAAGGAGCAAAACTCGACTTGCTGGCAGTCCGTTTGGGACGAGGCCACTGGGGATGTACACCACGACATCAAAGTGCCCCTCACCGTGGCGGGCTGCTGAGAAGACACAGCCGGGCATCCGAGCGCGTGTTCACCACCTCTGGGAGTGTCTGAAATGCACAAATTCTGCGCACGCCACTTCGCAACATAGCAACATGTTCCATCCATGGCTTGCCCTGCAAGTCACGACAATCAGACCTACAGGGCTTAAGGAATATAGAATGCAGTGCCGCGCAAGGAGCAAAACTCGACTTGCTGGCAGTCCGTTTGGGACGAGGCCACTGGGGATGTACACCACGACATCAAAGTGCCCCTCACCGTGGCGGGCTGCTGAGAAGACACAGCCGGGCATCCGAGCGCGTGTTCACCACCTCTGGGAGTGTCTGAAATGCACAAATTCTGCGCACGCCACTTCGCAACATAACAACATGTTCCATCCATGGCTTGCCCTGCAAGTCACGACGATCATACCTGCAGGGCTTAAGGAATATAGAATGCAGTGCCGCGCAAGGAGCAAAACTCGACTTGCTTGCAGTCCGTTTGGGACGAGGCCACTGCGGAAGTACACCACGACATCAAAGTGCCCCTCACCGTGGCGGGCTGCTGAGAGGACACAGCCAGGCATCCGAGTGAGTGTTCACCACCTCTAGGAGTGTCTGAAATGCACTAGTCCTGCGCACGCCACTTCGCAACATAGCAACATGTTCCATCCATGGCTCATCAGACCTGCAGGGCCCGAGGCCATATGTCACAGCCGTGATAATCGAGAGCCCTGCACCTGAGCACGAAACCCTAAACCCTAAACCCCCCTAAACCCTAAACCCTAAACCCTAAACCCTAAACCCTAAACCCTAAACCCTAAACCCTAAACCCTAAACCCTAAACCCAGTCTGAACGTTGAGATCCTTAAGGAGCCTTGGGGCGCTTGCATGAGCTCGATCGGGCTTGGGTGACACGTCCTGCGTATTGTGTTTAGGGTTTTGGGTTTTGGGTTTAGGGGTGAAGGATTCCCGAGTCTTGAAGCCCTGTACACCCGCAGCGGTCGCAGCCTGCTTGCCCAGGGACCTCGGTCGTTCTTGCTTCGCCCATCAGACATCACAGCGACTGCTTGCTCAAGCGTCAAAAGGGTTTAGGGTGTAGGGTTTAGGGTTTTGGCTGGTCTTTTGCATGGATCGTGCGCGGCCCTCTTTGGGGTTTAGGGTTTAGGGGCTTCCAGGCTCAAAGAAGACATTGACACAACTTCTCGTCAACACCCAAGTGGCTGCTGGAGCGCTGGTGCCGTTGCCCAACCTGAAAGACACATGGCAGGTTTTAGGGTTTAGGTTTGAATTTGTGGAAGGGAATCTGGATCATCTGATACCATCTGAGAGGCCTCTCCAACAACACCCAGAAGCACAGCACCACTCATGATCCCGCTACACTTCTCACGGCCAAGACGACAGCGACACCAGGCCCCAGAGTTGGGACGGGGCGCTTGTATTGCTCTTCCAAGACGGTGGCACGTAGCTCTCGAACAAGGGAACCACCTGAGGGAACAGGAGGGGCGGGGGGGTGGGGGGGGGGCGGCAGAGGGTTGAGGGTTTTTGCCCAGCTCTGGAAACGCTCTCATTGGGACCAAGGGAGCTAAACCCTAAACCCTAAACCCTGAAAACCCTGAACCCCCTACACCCTTTAAACCCCATTTTTTCAAACCCCCTAATTAAACCCTGAACCCTGAAAACCCTGAACCCCCTAAACCCTTTAAACCCCATTTCAAACCCTAAACCCGCCATCAGGTCTGGTCAATAAACGCTTAACCAGACAAGGGGTTTCTCAGGCCGCCATGAGCCCTCGAAAGGGCACTTGGGTCCTCTCTTCGGGGTGACGAACCCTCAACCCTCGCCCTAAACCCTAAACCCTAAGCCCTAAACCCTAAACCCTAAACCCTAAACCCTACACCCCAAAAACCCTCAACCCTCAACTTATCAGCCCAGCAGCGCCGTCCGGGCTGAAAACGACCATGGCGTCCCCGACACACTTCACCATCTGTGCAGCGACTTTAAGGGTAGTTTAGGGTTTAGGGTTTAGGGTTTAGGGTTTAGGGTTTAGGGTTTCGGGTTTAGGGTTTAGGGTTTAGGGTTTGTATTGGGCCCAACCTTAGGGAACCAGCGTTTTGGGGTTGTAGGGTTTTAGGGCTTTGGGGTTTCTTTAGAGCTTTCGGGTTTTTGGGGGCTGAGGGTGTTAGCTTGCTTCTCTTGCCATCTGCTAAGCAAACGACAGGGATGCAAAATGAGTACAGTACACCCCCCACCCCCCCACTGAACCCTAAACCCTAAACCCTACAAGCTAAACCCTAAACCCTAAACCCTAAACCCCAAACCCCAAACCCCAAACCCCAAACCCCAAACCCCAAACCCTCCCCACCCCCCCACCCCCCCACCCCACCCCCCATGGATCTGCTTTTTTTGGTGTGCTTGAGGTGCTAGCACGTGTTCGCCACCGAGGGTTTGTAATTTTATGGCTTAGGGCTTTCCGGGATGTTTGGGAGACAAGCAGAACACACACATTGGTGTGCACCATGTTTCGTTGAAGGCTTGCTGCAGGAAGCACAAACCGAAAAAACATACCCCAAACCCTCAACCCTAAACGCTAAACCCTAAACCCTAAACCCCAAACCCTAAACCCTAAACAATCATCAAGCCATGGCTTGCCATTTTGGTATTCTCGGCTCCCTCCAATGTCCATGGAAATGTTACCCTGAACCCTAAACCCTAAACCCTAAACCCTAAACCCCAGCTCGAATGCTTCTGCAAGCAGACCTTCAAACGAACTTTGGAAAACCCATGTTTCCTGAGAGTGGCGTTGCAAACCATTTGCTTTTCCAATGTGTTTCGCAAGCTCGCCTTCACAAACATTGAAAGACACGAAACAAAGTATAGGATTCAAAGTTGTCGAATCGACTCGGCCCAAAATTCAGTAGTTTGGCTTTCATTTTTTCTTGGGGTTTCCTAATGTTTTGGGAACATGGGCCCCGCAAGACATTGGAAACAAAACAAACCGACGAGGGCCTTGCACCAGCATTTGCAACTTCTGGTGCTTGTGCCAGCAGACCCTTGCAAAAGCGTGTTGTTGCTTTTTTTTGGCAAGCAGCCTCCAAAAAAAAGTGGCCGGGCATATTGGAAGAGAAAGAAGTACAACTGCTGGGACAACCGGGTGTGCGAAATCATTAGCGTAAATCGGCAGCTAGTTTCTTCCTTTTGTGCTTACAGGGATGAGTTACATTCCTTGAAGCAAGATAACAAAGGGCTTGCAGCTGAAAATACTGCACCCATCTATTGAACGAAGGAACTCGTAGGCTTTTTCTGTTTCCAAGCATGTACTCATGACCCAAGCTTTGGCGCTCCATGTTTTGGACCAGTGGGAACTGAGGACCGGCCCCCCACAGAAAAAGGAGGAACTTCCACTGAACTTCCGCTGCAAGTGAAGCGTCGCAGCCAACGCAAGGGACCACACTTCGCGCTCACAAAATACAGTAAGGACCCTATCACAGCTCCAGTGGTTGGGTAACCAGAGGGTCCTTGTAAAGTCTGGACACGCTATAGCTTCGAATATGTCGGCTCCACTCCAGAAACTGTGCGCATGTTGAAAAAATCTAAACCCCTAGCTACCAATTGCTTAAGAATCCACCCAAAAACAACATATTCCTCCTTATAAGGGTGAGATAGGGACATTATCTTATATTTTTGTTGGGGGGGGTCTTAAGCAAACAGAAGCAAAAGTCCCCCCAGTATGGTTATAAGTACAGTTCTAATTGGATAAGTACCATGAACCAAAAAAAAGCGTCTCCGGAAGAACTGCCTGGTCCTGCCGCACAGCGCACACAAGCATCGAGTCCGCTGTGCAGAAGCCCCTGCACTCATCAGCAGGGTTTGGGGTTTAGGGTTTGGGGTTTGGGGATTAGGGTTAAGGGTTTAGGGTTTAGGGTTTGGGGTTTGGGGTTTAGGGTTTAGGGTTTAGGGCAACAGCAGGGTTTGGGGCCTAGGTTGGGATGTTCCCCCTTGTACTAAGGGTCCTTAATGGGGATTCTATATAATAGCAGGGGACTAGAATCATCTATATTGGACTACTATTTGTATTAGGGGGGGACATCCCAAGGTTTAGGGCTTCGGGTAGAGGGAGCATTTCGAGCGCGCGGGTTTTGAAGCTTCATGCAGGGTGTCAGAGTCGTCTGCGCTGAGTGTTGGGGTTGTGGGGGGTTCGACCCGGAACTCTGAACCGCCTTTGTTGTCCGGAGTGGACATTTCGTTGCATTGTGGTCCCTTTTGGGAACCCTAAACCTACTGTTTGCTTAAGACCCCCCCAAGAATAACAGATAGCCATCCCATATTGGCCTTATAAGGAAGTACATGTTCATTTTGTTGTTTTTTCGGGGGGGGGGGGGGAGGGGGGGGGGGTTCTTAAGTATCTAGGAGAGATGTGATAATCTCACAACAAATCGTAACCGAACAGCCTCCATAGTGTGCGCAGAGACCCAAAAATGTGTCGGTGCACCTGCTTGCAATTTCAAAGCCTCTCTCAACTCTATACCCTAAACCCTGCTACCCTTCTTGAACCCAAAATAAAGTAATGACCTAACGATTGGGGTGTTTCCCCTTATGCTAACAATCCTTAAATAGTACCCCCCCCCCCCCGGATGTATCATCCCCAGTAAGGACTGTGAGTACAAAACGGGGAACATCCCAACCCCGAGTTTCAGACCCAGAGTTGCTTGGGCCCTGGTCCCAAACTGCACAGAAGCACACGCGCAGGCAGCACCCCCAACATTCTCAATCTGCAGCATGGCTACTGTGGTGCTGACATGATGATGGTCATGAATGTGAATATGAATATGAATATGAATATGAATATGAATATGAATATGAATATTAACTTGGATATGAACATGAATATGACTCTGTCTGCAAGAAACCAGGCCTGTCTACCAGGCTCCAGTTCTAGGTGTTTGTTGTGCGTATTGCAGGCATCTAAAGCCTACAGCCCCTTGGCGAGACTCAACACACTCGGTGCTGAAGAAGGAAATACGATACTCCCCTTAGAACCTTAATAAAGGTATCATTTTTAATATCCTCTTGGGTTTTATATGAACAAATATTAAAAAAAAAAAACAACACCTTGAAGGATATAGAATGGTCCTCTGCAGCTTCTTGCCGGCTTCCCGTCGGCCAGCTCGACTCTTCGTCTTGCTTCTCCCAATAACCAAAAGGGAAAAAGTTAAACTTTATTCTTCCTACCATATATAAGGAAACCCAACAAATTTAAGTTCAACTATTGGCTAAGTAAGTAGTACAAGAGACCAAGCGCCAGGCAACAGACTGCCAGTACTGTTCTTGGCTGCTGAGTTCATAACCCCCCCCCCCCCCCCCCCAACAGTGTACACTTTCAGTTCTATAGAGGGGATTTTTAGTATCCCAAAAAGTGTCAAGTGTACTCACTCAGCTACGAAGTAAACCCACTAAACCCTTCTAAGTGCTTTTGAGAACGCAGGGGTGCCTCGACAGCCAACATGCGTCAACGTTTGCCGTGTAGATTCCCAGGCCATGGGCAGAACCATGTGCCACTGGAATCCTGGGGTTTAGGGCTTAGGGCTTAGGGTTTAGGGTTCACAGGGCACCCAGAAACTCAGCCAGGAACAGGGCCTCCGATTTTAGAACGCCTACGAAACGATCAGACAAACGAAACAAGAAAGTCTGAGTTGGAGCTCAGACAGTTGCTTCAGTAGGGTTTAGGGTTTAGGCCTATCAAGATCTCGTCTGAGACACGTGGTGGGCTGCTCGGGAACTTCGAACAGGTTGGGACGGGGGGGTAGACAAACAGAACTGAAGCTTGCTTTGGTTCTTTTTCTTCGCTGTGGTATTTGGGGTTCAGCGTTCAGGGTTTAGGGTTTGGGGTTTAGGGCTTAGGGTTTAGGGGGTCCAGATCTTGGGGGTGTAGGTGGTTTCTTGCGTGCGAATGACTACATGGAGAACACCTGCCGGTTCTGGGGAAGTGGTCCGACTGGTTTGCCGTTAAGGCACGCAAATTCAGTGGCAACCATAGGTAACCATACCACCATTGTGTATATATATATATAATACAATACATACACACTGTGCATCATCCGTATTCTTATTAGGGCACATGAATCCAGCAGCAAAGCAGTTTCCCCCAAGATCAAGGCACCACTGTACATCACCCCTATAATCCCTAAACCCGAAACCGTAAACCCGGAACCCTAAACCCTAATTAAACCCTAAACCCTAAACCCTAAACCCTAAACCCAGCTTCCCCCAAGACCAAGGCGCTCATTCTTCATGCCAGGGATGAGCAGGCCCCGTGAGAAGATGGACCTGAGGGCCGCTGGGTTTGGGGTTTAGGGTTTAGGGTTTAGGGCTTAGGGTTTAGGGTTTAGGGTTTAGGGTTTAGGGTTTAGGGTTTGGGGTTTAGGGTTTAGGGTTTAGGGTTTAGGGTTTAGGGTTTAGGGTTTAGGGTTTAGGGTTTAGGGTTTAGGGTTTAGGGTTTAGGGTTTAGGGTTTAGGGTTTAGGTTTTAGGGTTTAGGGTTTAGGGTTTGGGGTTTGGGGTTTAGGGTTTAGGGTTTAGGGCGCCTCCAAAGCACCCTGGCGTCCGCGACCGTCGGACGGCGAAGCATCCCTTAATTAAGCGCGCCTCTCCCGGTTGGACAGCAATGGCCCTAACCCCTAAACCCTAAACCCTAAACCCTAAACCCTAAACCCTAAACCCTAAACCCTAAACCCTAAACCCTAAACCCTAAACCCTGGCCCAGAAACCCTCAAGTCCGAAGTCCACGGGGCGGGTAGTTCTTCGTGTCCGTGCCATGGAATGCAGGCTTGATGCGGGCCGAGTCCTAGGATTCAAGGGGTATAAGGATGAATTAGGGTTTAGGGTTTAGGGTTTAGGGTTTAGGGTTTAGGGTTTAGGGTTTAGGGTTGAGGGTTGAGGGTTGAGGGTTGAGGGTTGAGGGTTGAGGGTTGAGGGTTTAGGGTTTAGGAACCCCTAGAACCCTCAATCTTATTCCCCTATATAAACCTGACATATACCTTATGTAGTCCTCATATACCTAAGTGGCCCCAGAAGAACCCCTTAGGTCCCTTATAAGGGTCCCTGCTTTAGTCCATTGATAGGTCTCTCAGCCTTCAATGAAGCCTTGTCTTCACAGCCTTTTTGCGCCCTGCCCTACTCCGGAATAGCCCTGTGACACCATATTGCTCCAGACTGGGTTTAGGGTCTAGGGTTGAGGGTTGAGGGTTTAGGGGTGCTCGGCAGCTCCGGCGATTGAGCGCACAGATGCTTTGGTTTACATCTGAACGCGTTTAGCAGCTAAGCAGCTAGGCCTTCTTTCTCAAGTGCCCAACGCTTGAACCGTTGGTGTCAGATTGAGCTTAACGGCCTACTGAACTGAACTGCACAACTTCTAGACCAAGCGGCCTTCCAGCCTTTTCAACTTACCCAAGTCGACAACTCAACAAGGGCGAGAAGCCTTAGCTCATCTCTCGTGAGGCCGTCTGAACCCTGAACCCAAGGCCTGGTAAATCCTAAACTTGGGAGGTTCCCCCTTATACTAACAGTCCTTAATAGGGATTACCATAGGGATACTTTCCTATTGAGGACTGTTAGAATAAGGGGGAACATCCCAATCCTAAACCCTGAATCCTGAGCAACTACAAGACCAGAGCAGGCAAGGCTATCGGAGCGCGCATGGCGCAGGTTCCTACCCTCTCTTACCGGCAGGGACTTAGCATTAGCGGGAAGAGGACTGCTCTAAATTAGGTTTTTTGTTTGGCCCTTTCGGGGGGGTCCGTTGATAAGATGCCGAAATAAGATAGCTACCCTCAGGCCAGGCTGTATGGCAGACAAATAGATGCCTTGGGATTCGGGGTTTTTGGGGGTTTACCCTAAACCCTAAACCCTAAACCCGAAACCCTAAAGCAACTCTCTTTCGGCGAGTTGGCGGCGCATTCTTCGGCAAGCTTCGGAGATACGGAGCTTGGCGACTTGCTGCTACGATCCATTTCAATCCCCAAGCCTCCAAGGTTTAGGGTTTAGGGTTTAGGGTTTAGGGTTTAGGGTTTAGGGTTGAAGGTTTTGGGGCTATTTGAGCCTCGGAAAATGAGCACTGAATGAAGTGGTAGCCCGGTAACAATACTAGGACAATAAGCGTGAACTTAGTGGTTTCTGGTTGGTTGGTTGTATGCACGTCGCCTGGGCACGCTCACGCAAAAACCTTTGGCTCTTGCATTGATTTGTTTCCGCTAACAGGCAACAGCCGCGATCTATGCACAAGGAAGATAAGTCCACTTGCGCCATGGAAAAATGATTTGCTACAAGATTCTGCACCTGCAAGGCCAGTGCAAAAACCCACCACTGCAATGTCAGACCACTGGGAGAGTCACTTCTTTAACCAAACGCCGCCACCATCAGTCCAGTGTATGGTGGTTTGCGCCTGCCGCTGTACTTTGCCCAGCTGAATACGGGTGCCGGCCCCAAACCAGATCGTGTCCGGCGACAATGCTTGGAGTTGGGACACTGGCTCCGGCACGTCCCATTGGACGTGCCATACCAGGCTACCCCTGCGTATTTCACCGACGCAGGCGTTGTCGTGTTCTTGGTACCAAAAGCCCTCCAGGTCGTCCCAAAAGGCAGCGTCAACCGAGCTGCCACAACGTCCTGGAGTATCCTCCGGCTCACCAAGCTTCTGCACCAATACTGGATGCTTTGCCTCACATTGGACAGTTGCTTTGTCCCCTCCTTGTCCACAGCAGCAGCTTCCAAACAACATGAGGCACGCAGTATCGGCTGGAGCTGGGCGCTTCCTACTTGCCGTTTTAGCAAAACCGCAAGTGGTCTAATCTCCTGTAGCTTACAACGCTCAGCCAACGGACCCTTGGCAACCGACTTATAAACCCCTTTCCACCTAGGAGTTTCTGAAGATTCCCTTTGTCGGTAATACTCTCTCTCTCTCTCTCTCTCTCTCTCTCTCCATATATACATATATATATATATATATGTGTGTGTGTGTGTGTGTGTGCATATATAATATAGAATATCACGATATTGCACTATATTAAACTCTATCTATATACATATATATATATATATACATATCACGCTAATACTGGATATTTCCATATTCCTATGTTTGAGGGGAACCGGGGACCCCCGCATACCTTTTTCATTGCCCGCCAAGGACCGAACCACTGTGGCTTCACCAGATGATCCACTTATATGGCTGCCAGGAGCACGGGCCAACAGGGTTTGCGCTTCTCTGAGTTGTGCTTTAAACCCTTTGAGAACTGTTTATGAATGGGTTCCGATAGAAGAAAAGAAGGGATGTTGAATTGACGTTATTCACAGAACAACTCAGTTGTTTGTGCCACCTGCCCAGCTGCCCGGTTTAGGGTTTAGGGTTTGGGGGTCTTGTAGGGTTATCGAGCTCCAGACACGTCCATAAACCTGTAGCCGTAGAGCAAGTGACAACTGCAAAGGCCCACTGATCCACAACCGAACGCAGGATCTCAGATAAAGGTGCCCGAAACCCCAAACCCTGAACCCTAAACCCTACACCCAAAAGCCTTGTTTTTGCCAGAGGCCCGAAGATCAGTAACGCAGCGTTTTGGATTTGGAAAGGGGATTTGGGGACCGCAAAGGCCGCTCAGCACCCAAGGAAGCTGAACTCAGGGGGGGCGGAACTTGCCATACCGTGCTGTACCAAACTTCCGTATGCTAGAAGCAGAAACATTTGGTACGAACCCTCCTCAACCCTAAGCCCCAAGCCCTAAACCCTACAAGTCCTTAACAAAAATGCCCTAAGGCTCCAAGGACTTTTAAGGTAAAACCCTAAACCCTAAACCCTAAACCCTAAACCCAACGGCCTTATTATAAAAGATTTTCGGGCTATTTCTGAGCCTAAGGGAAAGCAAAAAGAGGAGCTCCCAGAGGGAACCCTAAACCCTAAACCCTAAACCCTAAACCCTAAACCCTAAACCCTAAACCCTAAACCCTAAAGCCTAAACCCTAGACCCTAACCCTAAACCCGCTCTAGGAACCCCTGGCTGCAAGGCAGGACTCAATTGCGAACATAAACCTTAGACTGCTCCATGGCACCAGGGTTTAGGGTTTAGGGTTACGGGTTTAGGGTATGGCCTCTTTGTTTGGTTTCCGTGCTATATAACTTATGTAACCCTTATCGACACTTTACATAGTCGGGGCCCATACTTCGGATCCCTAGAAGCAAGGGTCCGTACCAAGGGTTCATGGTTCCAACCTTAGAGGAAAATCTCCTGCTTCTCCAGCTTCCTCCGTTTTTGTGGTTGCTTTCTTTGATAGAGTTCTTAGGGGATTCCCAAATACTCCCCACTACTCCCTAAGGCTCCCTAAGCTTCCCTAAGGTTCCCTAGGTACGCATGAACCCCAATCCCTTAAGAACCCTATATTTCTTGCCACTAGCCAGAATTTGATTTTTTTGGGGCTTTGGGGACGCAACAGGTGACTGTCATATAGAGAACTGACAACTTAGGGGGGGTATGCAGAAGTTAACGATTTCCGGTATAACCGAAGGCTTCCTTGCTCCCGGACCTCCCTACTACCAAGCCCAAAGCAGGAAATGTCCAGGTACTAACGATCCCAACCCGACGCTCTGGAAACCTAATATGTAATTAGGGCCCCTAGAACCCTTGGACATAACCCTAAACCCTAAACCCTAAACCCTACTAGGGACACAAGAATTGGATCCCTGGAGGTATCTGGCCAGGAACAAAGATTCGCAAGAGCACCCCAAACCCAAAACCCTAAACCCCCTTTTTTCACCTAACCCCTAAATCCCTAAACCCCTGAACCCCTGAACCCTAAACCCCTATGCCCTAAAACCCTAAACCCCTAACCCTAAATCCTAAACCCCTAAACCCCCAAAACCCCACCAAGACACCGGTCTTGCACGTCGCGCGCCAGAGGCGTCGGTCGGAGTTCCACCTCTCAAGCAGGCGGGTGGAGGGTTTAGGGTTTAGGGTTTAGGGTTTAGGGTTTAGGATTTAGGGTTTAGGGTTTATAGGGTTTAGGGTTTAGGGTTTAGGGTGGAACCTCAAGCCCACAGCTTTCCCCCAGAGTCGGCAAAGACGAGCTCCTGAACGAAACTCTTTACCCTGAACCTGGAACGGATACTAAGCCCAAGAGTAACCTACGAATTGCTTAAGAACCCCTCCCCCCCCCCAAAAAAAAAACAACAAAAACAAAAACAAAAAATTAATATATATATATATATAAATAATATTCCTCAAAGACAAAAAAGGGATTGCTATTTTTTATATTTTTGGAGGTTCTTCAGCAACTAGTAGTAACCTAGCAAACGTTGGTTTGAAGGGGCTTACAACGGCAGCTCTAGGCCCAAGAGAGCCCAAGAATAACCTGGCAATGGAAAAGAGTGCCCTTTTTTTGGTTTCGAAGGGGCTTGTATGGGAACCCTAACCCTAAAAAAGTGGAAGAAGGGCCTACTCGGGGTCCTAGACTACACCTCGGTTGACGTGGGTGGGGGTGGGCTTGTAATAGGACGTAAAGCAGGGACGTTATTCAGTAGTCAGGTTCCGAGGAGAGAAACAGCACACTGCGTTATGCTGGAACATGTGTATGAAGAGGCAGTTCTACGTTGTGTATTCCTTTTGTGCTGGCAGAAGGGTTTGCAAGCTCGAGGCTCAAAGCTCTTAAGAACTTGAGTCGCAACTCCTCAAACCAACCACCCGCCCCAGACACAAAACCCCGAACCCAAAACCCACTACCAAACCTTCGGAATCCACGCCCCCATGATTCCCCCCCCCCCCCCCCCCACTCTTCCCCGGAACCCCGCTGCCGAACTCGCAGGCCAGGCTATTCCTGGCGGCCACTTGGCGGAGGGGAGGCGTGGGGGATGGTCCCTAAACCCCAAAACCCTAAACCCTAAACCCTAAACCCGGTTTGAAAGTTCGGCCAATGAGGGGATCCAAGCTGGGAGCTGCATGCTCTAATGGTCTTTAATATGCCTCTGGAATCCGCCAGCTGCTCACTTCTTCAGCCCTGAAGGTGAAAAACACATGGCTCGTAAGTGAAGATTAGAAATAGACATCTGCACATATCTGCACATATATACTTATATTTTTATGTAATAAAATATAAATACATATGTATATTAATATGAATATAAATAGAAATTATATATATATATATATATAAGAAAATATAATTATAAGTATAATCATAACTACACATCTAAATATCAATATGAAAATAAATATAAATAAAAACAAATGTAAATATACATATAGATATAGATATAAATAAATAAAAACATATACATATATATATATATATATGTGGTGTGACCATGGATCATGGGGGGGGGGGGCGTGAGCATATATATATATATATATATTTATATTTATTTATTTATATTTATATTTATTTATTTACATATTTATTCATATGTATGTGTGTGTGTGTGTGTGGCAAATCCCCTGCGGCTTGGGCGAAAAGATCCCCCGAGGAAAACACATCGAAGTCATCCACCGAGCTAGTCCAAGAGCCCCTGCGGTCATGATCGCTTTGTGGTGGAGTTGGAGGAAGCATTCCCGGAACTTCTCAAAGCCATCTGCCTCATGAAAGCTCGCGTTTTGGGGCGCAGGTGTCCTTCTAAAATTGCTGGTGACTTTTGGGAGATAGGCCTTGAAGCGTCTATACTCCGCGTGCTTCTAGACCCTGCCCTGGGATATGTCAGTGTTCACTTCATCTCGCTCCGGTGAACTGAGCAACTGGCAAGCTCCACAGATCCAAAATCCTAAAGCCTAATCCCTTCCCCCTAATATTAAACGGGCCCCCCCCCCCCCCCCCCTAAATGGAAACTGCAAAGTGTTTTTATACTTAGGGGGGTTTTTTATCCAAGTGTCCTTAACCCTAAGCCCTAAACCCTTAACCCTAGACCCCCAACCCTAAACCCTCTGAGGGTTTTATTGGTGTTGAGGGATTTATTGGAGGCCTGAACCCCCGCCCCCCCCTAATTCGGAATACGGTTTAAAAGGCGGGCTCGGTTTCGGGAGGATTTTCCGGAATGTGTTTTTGTTATTAGGGGGGCGTTTAGTAAAAGGGGGAAGGGATTACACCCGGACACCTATCCTGCCTGGGTTGGCCTCTAAACCCCTTCAAAATATTTATGTATAGGGCCCCTTACAAACCCAAACAAGGAAACATAAAATGTCCGAAAGGCCAACCTAGCTGGCATGGCTGAACCCTAAACCCTAAACCCTAAACAAATTTTCAGTGCCAAGCAACCGACCGCAGCGAGGCTAAACCCTCCACCTCCCGTTTCAGCTCCTTTCGCGCATGCAGGGTTTAGGGTTTAGGGTTTCGGGTTTCGGGTTTAGGGTTTGGGGTTTAAGGTTTAGGGTTTAGGGTTTCGGGTTTAGGGTTTAGGGTTTAGGGTTTGGCACCCGCATAGCTTGACGAACCGCTGAGCAGCTCTCTGGTGGGTTCAGGGCTTGTGTGTTTAGGGTTTAGGGCCTAGCGTTTAGGGTCCTCCTATCCGCTGCAAGTAGAGCTATCAGGGCCCTCAACTGGGTGTATGCACAGCATTCTCAGGGCAACTTCGCTCTGACGTCCATTTCTCTCAGCCCTAAACCCTAAACCCCAAACCCTAAAACCCTCAACCCCAAACCCCAACAAACCCTGAAAAACCCTCAGAGGCCATCCGAAACCCCAAAAGCCCCAAGACCACCAAAAGCCCCAAACTTTGTCCCAAAACAGAGGGAAGGCCTTAATAAAATGGGGGGGTTTACGAAAATAAGGGACCCCGAAGATAGACCCCACTAGCACTCCCTGTAAGAACCCCAATATGGTACCCCCAATTTCGGAAACCTAAACCCTAAACCCTAAACCCTAAACCCTAAACCCTAAACCCTAAACCCTAAACCCTAAACCCTAAACCCTAAACCCTAAACCCTAAACCCTAAACCCTAAACCCTAAACCCTAATCCTTTGGGAAAGGGAGCCTCCTCCCTGATCTCCGCGGCCATCAGGGCCGCCTTCTCGGCCAGCTCGGGCGTCAGGGGTGGGCGCCGCTTCCTTGGCTCGCTAGGGTTTAGGGTTTAGGGTTTAGGGTTTAGGGTTTAGGGTTTAGGGTTTAGGGTTTAGGGTTTAGGGTTTAGGGTTTAGGGTTTAGGGTTTATGGTTAGGGTTTAGGGTTTAGGGTTTAGGGTTTAGGGTTTAGGGTTTAGGGTTTAGGGTTTAGGGTTTAGGGTTTAGGGTTTAGGGTAAATTTTAGGGTTTATAGGGTTTAGGGTTTAGGGTTTGTTTTGCCACCCGCCTAGCTGAGCCCAGAGGGCCACTCTGCAGGGTACCCCTATTTTCGGAACCCAAGACCCAAGACCCAAAACCCTAAGCCCCGCGCTAAGTTTTTGTTTGGGTTCTGGGCTTAACTGATGCCCCATCCCGCTCTGGGCGCGGCAAACTCCGACTGTTTCCCCGACTTGTCCCTTGTGAGGGGGGCTCTGTAAGGGGATTCTTTTCTGTTTGGGGTATAAGAGGGGTACACCCTATTTTGGGATGGGTTCACTGGTGTAGAAATGCTTTCAAGGCAGGCCTTTTGTTTGAGGAGCTTGGGTGTTTCTTGTTTGTTGCTGCTGCAGTTGTTCGCGGAAACTTTCTGACCATTTCCGGTTTTGATGGGCTGGGGGGTCGGCCGCACTGACGTCCGCGAAGCCATTACAAATGCAAGACGCTTCTCCCCATCGCCCGAATGAGGCTACAGCACCCTAAGCCCTCGACCATTTGTGTTCAGCTTAGAGCTCTCTGAACTCTGAGCCCTCCGCAGTTTGGGCAAATTTGGGTTTCAGAAGGTTTGAGGAAGACCTGATGATGCTATCATTAGTTCTACTGTTGCTCTCCACCTTTCGGCCTAAACCTTATAAACCCTTAACATCTGCCCCACAGCATGCTTGGGGTAAAGCCCTAACCTCTAAATCCTCAAAACCCTATGAACCCTATACACCCTATAAACCCAAGAAACCCTGCAAACCCGAAAAACCCTATAAACTCTATAAACCCTTTAAAAACCCAATGCATCCAAGAAAACCTAAACCTCGGGGCCCAGGTACGCCATCCGCACCACGCAGCTGGGGTCGTCGAAACAGGAGCTGGAGTGGCTCGGAGAGCGGCAGATGGCGCAGAAGATGTGACTACACCTTAGGGCCCGAACATTTGGGTTTGGGGTTTAGGGTTTAGAGTTTAGGGTTTCCGAAATTAGGGGTCCTGATTATCAGGGGGTCTTTTTTTGTTTTTTTTTTTTTTGGGGGGGGGTCGACTATAGGGGTCCCGTTTTTCGAAAACTCCCATTTGGGCATGATCCCAACAAAAGGGTGAAACACCTCATAGAACACACATGTATAATGATCCCCTTTGTAGAAAAGAAGCACGCCCAAGCTAGACGCCTACAGTGTTGGGGAACTCCCAGTTCTTTTCGGTCTTAGAGCTTCTGGGGTTGCCTCTAGGGTGCCTTCAGGAAATCTTTGAGGGAGGCCGTGCATGCTGCGGTTTTGCAGTCCCCTAAACCTAAAACCCTGAACCCTGAACCCTGAACCCTAATTAAACCCTAAACCCTAACCTTCAGAAACCAGGTTCTGAAGGACGAGGTGCTGGAAGCATCGGACGGTGCGACGAGCAGGGTTCGGGGCCTGACCATCATCCAGTGAGGAAACCACGGGCATGTCCTGGGCCAACGCAGCCGCGGGGTTCGTAAGCTTCTCGGAGATTTTTCAAGGGATGGGGGTTCCAGGGGGATATGTGACAAAAGGTTCCCTAATACTAGGGGATAGGATTAGGGGGACCCTTGGGGATATAGACCCTCTGAATAAGGTCCCTTGTCAAGAGAGCCAGAAGAGGGTTAAGAAGGGGTTCCCTTTTAAGGGTCCCCCTTATCCCACCTAGGAAATACTCCCCACTGCTCACGAAGGCTCCCTAAGGCTTCCCTAAGGTTCCCGAGGTACCTACCCCCCAATGAACCCCAGGCCTTGAGGACTTCCGGGCTGCGAAGTTTAGGGTTTAGGGTTTAGGGTTTAGGGTTTAGAAGATTATTAGGAGTTGAGAACTTGCTCAGGTGTTTAGGGCATTACCTTAGCTGCCTTCAGCTTCAGGACAAAGCTGGGGTGCCCCCTTCTTGGCACCCTAAACGGTCCCAGCATCAGGAGCGACGCCCACAAAACCGTCAGTTTCGTGGGCTGGTTCTAGGGTTCCGGCCGAGGGTGACCAAACAATTGACAACACCACTCAGCCGACACAGGGCTTTGTTTATGAAAATAAGGGACCCCTAACTCGACCCCCAAATAGTAGGAGTCCCTTTTTGTATAAGGGCCCGCAAGAAGGTGCCCCAGCTTTCGGAAACCCCCATGCTGCCCCAGGCTCCATGCCCCGATCCTCACACCTTGGGCAGAACACGATGGAGTCCTGCTCAAGGGACTTAAGGAGGGATTTAGGAAGGGGGGGGGGGGGAGGGGTACTAAGGTTTTCAGGGACAAGATAAGGTCTATATAGTTATATAGGGGAATAAGAGTCAGCCCCCTCCTTTTACCCCTTAAAGTAGAATGCGTCTCGGAAGCTTGGGACGTCTATACCCTGTCGCACCCTCCCCATGTGTCTGATTGTGGCTGTCGGATGCAGGCAACCCCTAAACCGTATAGTAGAAGCCAACAAGTTGGAAACTCAATAGCCTCATCCCTAAGAGTAAGGTATAGGGAATCCCAGCACTATTTGTCCTTAAAAAGGTTTCCAACTTTTGTTTACTGTAAACCCTAAACTGTGGGCAAGCAGTCTTAGGATGGAGGGTTCAAGGTTGAAGGTTGCAAAGCACCTCAATCCCGAGCCGGCCGTGTTTTTGCTTTGTGGTTCTGTACTTTCTTGTTTGCCTTTTGGTTCTGTACTTTCTTGGTTGCACTGATATATATATATATATATGTATATGTGTGTGACTTGTTCGTAGTATGTGCGCATGTGTCTTCGCCGATCGTCGGCAGCCAAACTCCAAAGCAACCGACTTGCTAGCTTTTCCCCAACAGGAACCCTCCCGTAACCAGATGTTTCGCAAAGAGTTTCTGCTGCACCTTGAACGGCGAGGACAGCACGCGCTTGGAGACCGTCGCCCAAAGTTCCGGCATTCCGGTCCTCAGGAACCGTGTGGACGGTTTTGCTGAGCTGTGGAAGTGTGAGGAGACCCGAGACCCGGAACCCGTGTTCTCTATTCTTATCTATCTCGAACCCTAGGCCATAAACTCTAAACCCTCAACCCTAAACCCTAAACCCTTCACCCTAAACCCTAACGCAGGCAAACCAACGTTCTATGGGGACGACATGGCGCCAACGTTTGCAATAGGGGTGAGACAGGGCAGGCGAAGTTTGAGTCCCTTGGAAGTTTGAGTCCCTTGTGGGCGACCTCCCAGCATCGTTCGTACGCGATCCCCTCCCAAAGGGTCTAGGTACTCCTCTTGGTAGCCCAGTAACCATACTATGACAAGGGTACCCTGTTTTGGGTTAGTTACTTTAAGAGGGAACTTTGAACCAAGTAAAGGGGAAAGGGTACCACTGGGCTACCAAGTCTTATAAGGAATACTCAGGATCTGAATCTTGGGTTTGAGTGTCCACAACAAACCTTTTTGGCATTCAAAACTGAGCCTCCCCAAACTGTTCACAAAGAGTCGGGCTCAGGGCAACCTAAACCCTAAACCCTAAACCCTAAACCCTAAACCCTAAACCCTAAACCCTAAACCCTCGCGCAACAATCCCTGGGCCCCTTTTGCCCGACTCCCTGAAGCCTCTACAGATCCAGTAAGTCCTGAACAACTGCCCTGGGGAGCACGTGAACTCTAAAATTCGGGGGTCATATACCCTATACAAATGGAGTTTAGGTATATGAACCATAAAGCCGGACCTCTCATATAGACCCTCAAAGAGTAGCATTCCCTTATAATAAGGACCCCCAATAAGGTACCCCTAATTCCGGAAACCCCCATTTGGTCCCCAAGGCGTGTGTGACGTCGTTACAAACCCTAAACCCTAAACCCTAAACCCTAAACCCTAAACCCTAAACCCTAAACCCCAAAGAAGACACACAGCGACCCAGGGTCCACTCCATGAGCTCTGGTGCATTAGCCCGGCAGTTGGCCAGAGGGCAGTGCCTAAGGCGCTTTTGCGGGTTTAGGGTTTAGGGTTTAGGGTTAGTTACTTGGCTGCTCTTAGCAGGGTAGCTATAAATTTAATCTTTAGCTGCCTTGTCTCTTAACCCAATAAACCCAAAAAGGCTAAAGATGTAAAGTTACAGTAAAGCACCGCAAAGGGTACATGGGGTCACATTAACATGGGCACTCAATAAAACCCCCAAGGGCCCATATTTCAGAATCTTCTAAAGAAGGTAAGGTAAGGGACCATACTAAGGGACCACGTTTTTGCTTGCGATTTACGGCCTAGGGAGGCGGAACCCTACAGTAAGACCCTCCTGGGCCTTGCTGTTTTGGTGCTACCAGTTTGCTTCGAGACAGGGCTGAATGCGGGACGGTGCCCAAACAGGTCGACTAAAGCAGGCGCAAGGACCCTCTGTCAGGAGCTTGCCAAGCAAAGCTCCGTTTTGGGGTCTGCATGATAGATCCTGGGGCTTGACTCAGCACTTGACGATCGCTTCCTGCAGGGCGTTGCAGGGCTTAAGGGCTTCATGTTCTCAACCCTAAACCCTAAACCCTAAACCCTAAACCCTAAACCCTAAACCCTAAACCCGAATCTTCTGCTTGCCCCAGGCACGGCTTGAGCTTGTTGGCAGCGAAGACTTGTGAGGTCATACCCGCGCACTGGGGACCTGATCTGTTTCACCGGACATCTCAAAGCCTATGGGCCTATGGGTATATTGGCCCTTGTAATTAGGGTTCCTTGTGTGGGGGTTTAGGGTTTAGGGTGTAGGGTTTAGGGATAGTTTTTTGCAACACACTTCAGATTGCCTGCCGGTTGCTGAAAAGGCCTTTGGGGAGATAACAAAAGACTCCCCTAAACCCTAAACCCTAAACCCTAAACCGCCTAAACCCTAAACCGCCTAAACCCTAAACCCCCTAAACCCTAAACCCCCCCAACCAGTCTGAGGAGCAAAGGGAATGTTGGCATGACTTGAGCTGCACTCGCGGCACTTTGTCCAGCAGCACAAAGCAGCTCCTTTGCTGCTCAAGCTCTTCCATCTTATTCTAGGCTAGTGGTTTAGCGTTAGGGCTAGGGTTTAGGTTTTAGGGTTTAGAGTTTAGGGTTTACGGTTTAGGGTTTAGGGATGCTACCCCTTAGACTAACAGTCCTTAACAGGGATTATCGTACCCCCATTCTAATCTCTATTAAGGACTGTTTGTATAAGGAGGAACATCTCAAGTCTTGCTCTAAGCCCAAGAGATCCCAAGAGTAGCCTAGCAATGAAACAGGGTGACCTTTTTGGTTTAAAGGGGTTCATAGGGAACCCGAAATCCTAAAATAAGGGCAGAAGAGCCTACTCCGGATCATGGAGCTTCATTTGGAGAAGCTTGAGGGATGTTTGGGCACCTACCTCCTTGCTGTGGAGCTCGCAAGTCCCAAACTCCGAAATCGCCAAAGCTGCAGGGTTCAAGATTTCGAAACTCTACAACAGAAGCCTCAGCCAAAGGTCTCACAGTTGGCAGACTTTGCAACTTCCTGAGGGTCAGCCGTCCTCAGCTTTGGTGCAAAGGCTGAGAAGAAGCTCCTTCTCTATCCTGCTGGCGGCTATGTGTAGCACAATGCGTGCATTCGTAACAGCACCCTATAGAAATCTTCAGACTCCGGTCCAGGCAACCCGAAGCCACCTCAAGCCGTGACAGAAGCAAGGGGCGGAATGTCATTCTCGAAGTCATCCTCCCAGTCGGTCTCTCGGCCCTCCAGTGCCTGACAGAAGACGGAAGCACAAGGGGGTGCCGAAGCAGGCCTGAATGCTTCATCTACATTGCCAAGCATAGGCTTGCAGAGGCTGCTACAGATTGACATGAGGGCCAGGCCACTGCAGCCCCCTGTGACGAGGAGGCAGTGCGGGCATCGACCCGCAGCCACTCCAGCCTTGCGGTAGGGTCGGGAGTGTATTATCTTAAGCTCCTGAGTGCCTGTGTGATGCGACTTGTCAGCGCCCTATACCCTGTTGTTGTACACTTCAGGCACCTGCAAACCCTCATGAAATTATACTGCTGCGCTCACTTCTCGACACCACTTCGTTCAGCCCACGGCCAATGAAACACCAACTGAAAGATCGTCTGCAGGCGCACAGCGGTGTCCCAAAACACCAACAAGGTCACCTGTTACCCGAGCATACCGAGTGTGACCACGGGGCCACGTCATGCAAGGTGCTCGGGTAGACAACGTTTTTGTGCTTCGCCTGCTCGCAGCACTTGTAGCAGGCGGCTCAACACGTCTGCATCGACTTGCTCGGGTGGCCGGCGCAAGTCCACAAAATGGTCCAGCTGCCATGCGTACTTTTCTCTGGTGGCTTGTCGTTTGCCTGGCGCCCATGGCGGACAAAGTCGCAGACTGGCAGGCTTCTGACCAAGAAGGCGGTGCCCCATCAAGACGTGACTCGGCAGCAGAAACATCCCCAACAACATCCCATTGTTGAGAACGGCAGCCAGCAGCATGTCGAAGTCCGCCTCTTCATATGCGACCCTGCCCGGCTTGCCAGCATGTCTCCAAAGATTTACAGAATAGCCAGCGGTCTTTGCTCGAAGGTTGGAAGCTTTCTCTTGAACGCGCCAGCTGGAACCGACCCCACTCAGCACAGAGTCAAACGCGATCGCCGTCTGGGTCATTCTTTGGAGGTGGAAGCCCACGCCGGCCAAAAGCGCTTTCAATTGAAAGTGTGCCAGAGTTTCTACTTTGTGTGTCGTGCTGCACTGCAGCTCCGCAGCTTCAAGAGAAGCATGAGGCAACTCCTGTGTGTTCTCGAAATGTGTCAGCAGAGTGAGACCAATATCGGGAGCGTGCCATGCATGATCTCGGCTGGATCCAACGGCAATTCTCAAGCACTTCTGCCTAACAGCTGTGCCTGGAACGACCCACAAGCTGTCTATGTCAAGGGCAATAAGAACCAACAGCATGCCCTCATAGCCCGATGTGTGCATGAAGCCGTACTTTTGCCTGCCGCGTGTGCCACTTAAGTTTGAGCTTGCAGACTTGAGTTGCAGACGAAGGCCGCCAGTCGACGAGCCCCTCTGCTGAAACAAGGCATCTACCCTCGACATACCTGGGACCGGAACTATTTCATATGATGACGCGAGCGATGAGTGCAGAAAGCGCTCTTGCAAACGACGGAAAGACTCCTCCTCCTTGCCGAAGCTGTCTCGCACCGTTGCTATCCCACGTGCTCGTGCCGTTGCTGGGTCTTCCTGAAAGTCACCTTCTGCAGCTGTCGGAAAGTTCAAAGACCTCCGCAGACGCACCCGATCCTGACACAAAGCACGTAGGCATTGATCGTAGGCCTGCGCTGCACATCTCTCTGAATCAAAGGAGCCCGCACGATGCATAGTGTTTCCGATGGACACCTGCGCTACAAATTTACCAGTCGACCGGCATAAGTGCACACCGTTGAAGCAGCTCGTGGCGAGACTGCGGATGCAAGGCTCTTGTTGCCATCCCACTTTCAGCAAGAAGTTGGCTCCAAGTGTGGCCGACATGTTGCTTGCACGGACTTTGGGCCCAAAGACTGCGTCGAAAGAAACAGAGATTGCCCTCCGGAAGGCATACCAGCACCTGCTTCGAACCTGCACTACAACGTCGGCCTCTTAGAGTACCCCTCACAGCTGGGGCTCAACTCCCCATCCTCGGCCCTTTGCAGCCGAGATGCCAGGAGAAGAGCACCGGCGAACCACGGAGCGGCTCAGCAAGGGACTGCAGCTCCTGCTGTCGCACACCGCACGTTGAACAAGGCTTTGGAGCTTCTTTTTGCCAACATTTTCGGGAGGCTTACTTTTGTAGAAGCCTTGGGGCTGACTATGTAGTTGCCACAAAGGCATGGCTACAAGAACGACTTCGTAAGCCTTCAACTTTTGTGCCCCCGCCTTCCCCGAAAGCACGTCTGAAACGCACCCCTCAGGCTCAAAATAGCCCAAAAGCCTCATTTAAAAAAGGCCTTTGAGCCCAAAAACCCGTAAAAAAAGTCCTTCCAATCTGAGGGCACTTCTGGGCAACTCCGGATCCTGTGCGAAGGAGTCCAAGACCTTTCGTGGGTAAATCCCGGAGCTGAGCCTGGCTGTTCAGCCAGGTTTAGGGTTTAGGGTTTAGGATTTAGGGTTTAATTGAACAAACTTGCTTCAAGGCTTGAGGAATATGGAAGCGTTCACTCCAAAGGAGGCCACTCTCTGTGGCTTCCTGCCAGCTCGCCACGTAGTTGTGGGGCTTCGGGGCGTCCGATGCAGCAGGTGTTCGCTAGTGACAATCATGCCAAGGAGGCCGCTCTTTGGGACCGACGCTTTGCCATTCGAGTTTTCTTAGGGCCCTGCACTTTTTTGTTAAAAAGGGCGGGTCCTCTGCGCTGTGTCTATGTTGCCTTTAAATGTATGGAAACTGGACCAAGTGATGAGCAGCTCGAAGAGCGGCAGCGTCGTCCCGCCATCGTCCGCCAAGTAGTCCGGGGGCAGCCTTGAAACATCTTCGTGCAGCAGTGCAAGATCTGTTGAATAACGGATGAAGATACTGTCCTTTTTCTGCCTCCATGCCATGAACATGCACCCGAGCTCCTGTAATGAGGCAAAGGAACCAGATGGTGACATCGACATTCACAGCACGGAGCTTCGCCTGGAAGGAGGTTCCTGCAGCGCTCAGCTGGTACTAAGACTTTCTTCCATGTGCCACGACGTGACAAAGCTCATTTTTGGTGCATGCATGTCAGTTTGTGTGTGTGAATGCATCTCACTGGAGGGTTTAATGGGGCTGAAAGCAAGGTCGTTGCTAGCGAAGTCTGACTCACAATGTTGCTTGGGCAGTTTGCGGCAGGCGGCTGCCTTCGTCCGGCACATTTCCGAGGTCCGGCAGCTCCAAAACCACCTGGCGCAAGGAATTGTTCTTCAGCCGACAGTCGCAGGCCCCAGGTCGCTGCAAAAGGCCCTCACACACAACTTGCGAGACACTTCTAAGCCTAGGCTAGCCTTCCGAAGACCCCTCCCCCTAAGCCTAAACCCTTTTGAAACCGGAACTGAGCTCTATGCCAGCCCTAAACCCTAAACCCTAAACCCTAGGCCCTAAACCCCACCCAAAAAATTAACAAGTCCAAGGCCACTTCCCGGCTTCCATCATAGATGGCCTCTGAGAGCTGAGGCTTGAAAGGTTCAAAGGGTGCTGGGGGCCGGAAAGTCTGTTTCTCGTTCACCCCAAACGAGGCTGGGGCTTCTAGAGGAATGTGTGTCTTGACTTCAGATGCTCTGCAAAGTTCTTCTCTGCTCCATCATGCCCCCCTCAGCATGCTGCCGCAAAGTTTTTCTCTGCTCCATCATGCCCCCCTCAGCATGCTGCCTTTGAAAGCCTAACTATCTCTCCCGCTCCTGAAGAAATCAGCCACACACCCTGTCAACACCCAGACGGAACACCCGAACACGTTCCCCCACCTCTCCTGCGAACCATGAGGGGCTCTTCGTAGCCCAGCAACCATATTACCCTAAAAAAGTAAGGGCACCCTTTTGAGGGTTAGTTACTTTATAAGGGAACCTACAACCAAAAAGAAGACCACTGGGCTATATACCAAGGGCCCCGAGCCTCCAAAGAGCTGAGCTCGGCAAGCTGCTCGCTGTTGGACATGCGCTTGGGGGGCTACGAGGGTGGGGGGACGACGAACCACCCCAAAGCCCGAAGAACGGCCCTAAGAGGTAAGTGACCTTGCTGTGAAGCTGGCTGACGACTTGCTCCGAGATTTATCCTTTTTGCTTCTTTTTCTACTGTCATGCTACAAAGGCATTCTGCATGCTGGCTCAAGTTGCTGGGTCTTTTTAAGTTGCTAGGTATTGGTTTTGAAACTTGGTTGCGGGCTGGGACGCAGACGATGCTACGACCCCGCAAGCAAACTAGTCTCTACTAAAAATGGCGGGGCTGGTGACACGAAGCATTTCCCCAAGGTCCCCCCCCCCCACAGAACAATAACGGGCCAGTGCAGTATCAACCAGCAAAACACGTTGCGAGCACGAAATCCTGGTAAGAATACAGGCGCCCGAACACGACCTTGCGGCACACAGTCTCTATCATGAGCTACCACCAGGAGTGAGCAATGAACCTTCGAACAAATCTGACTCCGAGCTTGCATACGTTTACCACACTTTGCTTGCCTCACGATGTAAACAAAGCTTTTGACGACCTCCCGAAGCCAGGACACACGAAGGAACCCCTGAGCTCACCCTACTTTGGAGCAGACCCTGGAAAAAACAGTATATACTTTTTGGGTACTAGGAAACAATATAGGAACCCACAACCAAAGAAGAGTGCTCCAAAACCCTCTGTTTTTGGCTCATGGCAACCTCCGCCTCTGTACAACGGGAGTCTGCGCTACACTGGGATCCGGCAGGGTGCCTCCAAGTAGGCTCCGGGGCCCCTTGGGGCAACCCTCCGACTCTTTCCTGCGGCCCGATGCCCGATTGCAATCTCCGAATGACCCAGGGAGCTCTCTTAAGTTCTTGAACCGATCTCCGAGGTTGAGGTACTCTTATCGTATGCATATATATATATATATACATGTATACATATGTATATGTTTGTATTTATTTATATACATGTGCTTGTATAATACATATATATATATATAGGTACATGGACCATTTGGGAGCATGTTCCTACCATGTGCTTGCAGTTGCAAGTGGACACCCAAGCGCGACTTTATCCGACTTTCTCTTTTCATGGCTATAAAGAAGTGAAAGAAAGGATAAGGTACCTATAGTTACCTTGCAGTGTGCATGGAAAAGAGTTACGTGTTGCGGATACTCTGACTTTTCGCAACGGAGGTCGCATCGAAGCACGGGGGCCACTCGCGACTACATTTTCGGGAGATTCTGCTCCGTGCTCCTCATGGGTCTCGTGCCCTCACCAACGTGCACACCCCCTGGGACAGACAGATGTCGTAGAGGCTGCGTGCTGTAGTTGAATGAAGCAAGTACAATCGCACTCGAGTTAGTGGCCAGAAAAACCACCTGCAGCGTGAAGCCCATCTTCTAAGTCCGTGTGAGACACGCGCACGTGGCACGGAATCGGCTCCACATGGAGTACTCCTCTACAACGAAGACATTCTGCGGGCCAAAGCTGATGTTTACACATGATGCTCCTGCTCCAATTCAGGGTGTGGTCTGGCATGCTTGGTACGTGACTGAAACCCTGAGGGCCTCCAGGACTACGACCCACATGCTGCTCCTGCAAGGAATATGTGCACGTCAGGAGAGGTCCTGGCTTCGACTATGAACAGGGCTGAGACAGGCTATGTCCCTTGGCCTCTCCTATAGATGCCAGGGCTCAGGGCTTGTACCTCCGACCCCCCCCCCCCCCCTAGGGACTTACTCTTTGCGAATTGCGGGGTCTAGGGAGTTTAGGGCTTGTGTGAAGATGATGCGATCTGGTCGAGGACAAGCCCTTCCGACGGAATCTCTCGCAGCAGTTTCCCCTAAACCCTTTTTTAAACCTCAACCCTAGACCCTTTTCTGCTAAACACTTCTGGGCAAGTCCGTCATTGCAAGGCCTGTGGCCGGGTGTAACCATCTGCTGCTGTTGCAATTCAGCTATTCCATGGGAGCTGGTGTCCTTTGGCATACTGCCCGCGGGAACACCTGTGCACACGAGGCAGCTGTGAGCCGCCGGCCCCAGACTTGCCTTTGTTTCGGGGGTGCTTTTTGTTGGGTGAACAGCTTCTGTTGCTATAGCTACCATGGAAGTATATAGAACACCCAAGAAGTCGAAGTCGGGCGGTGGGTGTAGACTGATAGAATCTGGGGACCGCGGCTCGCATCCGCCCCCCGGCATCCTTGCTCTACAACTTATAGAGCTTCCAGGAAGGACACGTAGCGCTGCAGGAGCACCTGCTCCTCCACCAGCGCTGCGCCTAATCGTGCCAAGCTTTACACAAATAGGGTTTAGGGTTTAGGGTTTAGGGTTTGGGGTTTAGGGTTTAGGGTGCTCAACATTGGACCAACTGGAATAATTAACGGCTTGCGGCGTGGTTCTACGGCCACGCCGGTTCACAAAGCCTTGCGAACGACCTCACGCTTAGCACCCATATGGCAGGATTTCGACGAAACTACCGCCGTACAACTCCCTGTGTTGCTCCCCTAAATTCTGCAAGGTCCCCTCGATCCCTGGAATTATACTGCCTTTCTACCAGAATAAATACATGTTCCGGCTCCCCCGCCTGCAACGTCGTCTTCCACGTCCTTGGCTGCACGGGCTTGCATGCTGCTGTTCCACCAGAAAAGAGGCAAGCCGCCCCAAGGGCAGATAAACTTAGTTGTCCAGTAACCTGGGGAAACTAAAGATTAACCTTTGGGAACTAATGGGGATAAGAATACCCCAAAACGGTTAAACGTTACCTATTCGACTACTAAGTATAAAGACGAATGCCGCCAGCAACTCAACACCTCTGCCAAGGCTTTGTGCAGCCCTATGGATGCCATCAACTTCCCGTTAGACAACTGCATGCTGTTTAAGTAAGGGCCCAAAAGCAGGTTTCGCAAATCACGTATACATCCGACCCTAATTCCGAACCCAAAGAGTCCATGTGCCCACATAGTCGCCCGCATGAGCCCAAGAGGGAGAGCCCAAGCCCTAAACCCTTTTTTAGAGACTCCCGGGAACCGAGGCCGGAAACAGCTAGAAACCCTAAAAGATCAACAGCCCCCCTGAGCTAAGCCGAAATCCTGGGACCTTGAAGGTACACTAAGGGTACACTGAAATACAAGGTACGGTACCCTAAGTACACAAAGTACCCTCAACCTTAAGTACACAGGGCACCCTAAACCCTAAGTACCCTATGAGTGCCCCGCAAACGTATAGGGCGGCCGAGCGTCCCCCCGGGTGAGGCATCGGCCTAGCTCCCGCTCCACGAGCTCGCGCGCGGCTTCATCGGCGGCCTCCAATTCGCGGAGACGTCTTTAGCGTTTAGGGTTTAGGGGGACAACTTCTGTCATTCTTCTTATGACCATTGCTAAAGTGTTCCTCTAGTAGCCGAAGCATCACTGTTGTGGGTAATGGATTCGGAAGGTCTCGGTCGGATCAGTACACTACACAGGCCTCCCCCCCACTACTTGGATGCCCTTTATGCTGCTCTTTGCAGGGTTTTGGGGCTACTATACACGAGGGTTCAGGGCAACGCACGGCAAACCCCCAACAAAGCCCTCTATGGGGTCGATTATTGAATGACCTATAATGATCTGACCCCCTAGTGGTCGATCGATCGCCTCCTTCTCCTCCGCTGCACGCGCAGCTTCAGCCTTGCGGGCTTAGGGGGGTTGAAGGGGGGCTGTTGGTGCACCTTGTTAAAACGGGTCGAACAGTCGTAGGCCGTGTAGGGTCCTAGCCTGTGACTCGAAGCTACTCGAAGCTGAAGCTGCTGGGCAGCAAACTGCCGTCCAGCATTCTACTTTTCGCCGGGTGTTGGACACCTAAGGTAGCAGAATGTTATACGATTATGAGTCCGTCCTACCTAGCTCAGGGTTCCCACGCTCACGATCCGTGGGGTGCTCGACACTGGTGAGCTTAGCACATGCAAAGCAACCTGGCTGGGAGGAGCTCGAGTGTCGACCAGTGTGTCGAGAATCACAGCCTGTACGATCCTCTGACAGCCCCGACAGCCCTTAGGAGTTTTTCTTGGCTTCGGGCTGTTGCACTTCCGGGGGTGCCCGCGGACGGGGGGCCAGGAGACCAGGGGTTGCAAGCTTATACAGGATTCTATACACGTAATAACTACGCAGAGGCGGCCGCCAGCAGCCAGCAAACATGTGCAAGCGAGAGCGCTTTCTCCTGACATGCAACAAGCCTGAAAAGCAGGTCTTCCAGGATGTTGCGCAGCTCGATAGGCAGCAGAGTCTCTGTATCCCATTTGCGCAGGTCAACAAAATGCGCCAGCTGCCAAGAATGCTTCGCCCTGGTGGCCTCTTGTTGCGGCAATCTCCAAGGTGGGTACAGCGGCAAAGTAACAGGCCTTCGCCCTAAATACCCCAATTTCAAAAGAACGTCAGCAGGGAAGACGAAAAGTCCGGAAAGTCGGCTGTCATCTAGGAGAGCCACCAAGAGCAGGTCAAAGTCAGTTTCTGCGTAAGCACGACGACCAAGCGCCCCACCATGCTTCGAAAGGTTTGCTGCGTATCTACGTGCTTGAATCGTTGAGGCCTTCTCCTGAACGCGCCACTGGCAACCGCCGCCCGCGAGCACGGAGTCCACTGTTGCCAGGCCTTCAAACAGCTTCTCAAGTTTGAAGCCGACGCAGCGGAACAACATCCTCAAAAACGCATGGGCCTGCTCTTCAACCTGGTGATTTGGACTGCACTGCAGGCGAGCCTCTTCAAGCGATACGTGAGGAAAGTCCTTCCTGTTTCGAAAGCAACTTTCCAACAAGGAGCCAATGTCTTCTGTCCGAAGCTCCATGTCCCTTGTAGAACCTGGCTTTATGTATAAGCTTGCGCTTGTCACAGATGCTCCTGGCAAGGCCCATAAGGCATCACAGTCAAGCGCCACAAGCACTAGCAGCATTCCGACGTACCCATGTGTGTTATTGAACCAAAACCCTTGCCTTCGCAGGCTGGCTGACTTTAGTTGCAAGGCAAGCCCACCAG